GACCCACTCTCGAGCGTACAGCGCAACGAGGGGCGCTAGTCCGCCTGCCCTCGCCCCCGGCTGTCTCGCCTGCGCCGCTCACACGCCACACTGCGCCGATGTTTGGCCTTTTCCCCCCCGAGCGTCGGGCCCGGCGCGGGCGGGGCGCTTTTTCACGCTACACCCCCGGGAGCACCGCGGCCCTCTTCCCGGGTGCCGCTCCCCGCTCCGCTCGCCCCATGGGTGCCGGCACCTCGGCGGCAGAGCATCACTTGGCTCCGGCGTCCTCCTCGCTCACGTCCCCCCCCCCCCCCCCGGGGGGACCGCGGGACGGGGTCCCTGGCGAACAGCACGTCCCGGTGCCGGGCCAAGCCCTCCCAGAGAGCAGCGCAAAGACGCCCGCAGGGCGGCGGCCGGCAAAGAGAGAGCGGGAGAGAGAGAGAGAGCGAGGGCGGGAGAAGGGGCCGCAAGGCCAGCCCCAGCTGGCTTCCCTGGTCAGCCGCGCCCCCCTTCCCCGGCGCTCATGTGTGCGCCCCGGCCGGGCCTGGGCACACACGCACCGACACACGATTGATGACTGCCCGGCGTTAAGTGATGCGAGGAAGCGGCGCACCGACCGCGCAGACGCCGGGCGAGGAGCTTGCAGCCTGGGGGCCACCGCCGGCCACCGTGAGCGGGCAAGGCATACGGGGCAAGGAGCATGCTGCTCGCCCTTCGGCCGGGCCGCCGGCCCGCACCGCCGGCCCGGCCGGTGGGTGAGACTAGTCGCGGGCCGCCGCCGGTGCCGCCGCCTCCGGGTCCAAAGACTAGACCACGCCCGAGGGCGGCGGGAGAAGCGCGGGCGCGGCACATTCCGAGAACCACCCCAGCTCCAGGATGACTTGCGGCTGCATCTCCGGGCTTGTACTTTGTGTGGCGGCCCCCGGCCCCCCCCCCCCCCCCCCGTCGGCCGACGCCTCAGATCGGGGCCCCGATGGGGTGGGCGTGCGCGCGGGGGCACGTAGGCACATGTGTGTGTGTGTGTGTTCGTGTGTGTTCGTGTGTGGCGGGAGCCCCCGGTCAGCAATATCACCCGCGTGAGATCGCCCCCGCCGGGGCGCCCGGTTGTTTTTCCTCCCCCTCCCGGCCGGGGTGGCGCGCGGCCGGGCTCGCCGGGAGACAGTTTTTTCCGGCCTCCACTGCGCGTGCATGTGCGGCTGGCCATGAGCGTGGCTGGTCGGGTGCGCCCCGCTACTCCCAGGCCCCAGGCCACACGGGCGGCTGTCTCCCTGGTTGCAAGGGCCGTAAGCTTGGCGGCTCCCCCCCGTCTGGCCCCCCCCCCCCCCCGGCGCTCGGGCGGGCGGACACCTCCGGTGTATTGGGCCGTGTGCCCCCGGGGCCTGGCCGTGTTCCGACCCCCGGGGGGGAGACGCACGCCACCAGGCTTTTGCACCGCTTCCCCTTGCGCCGGGGGACACCGGCAGGGCCCACCGAGGGCGTCACCTGAGGCTGACCAAGCACAGCACAGGGGCCGCCGGCGAGATTGGCCTCCGCCGGGGGGGGGGGGGGGGGGGGGGGGGGGGGGGGGGGGGGGGGGGGGGGGGGGGGGGAGGCGCGATCTT